TAACAGTTGTTATTAACTGATCAGTATTTTTAATTACGTATAATTAATTTAAAATTTGTTGATCTTAACAAAGATGCGATGAATGACATCCTTATAAAGTTATAGATACCAACCCAAAGACTACCATATAATCATACATAAACAGTTTCATTAAACCTTTTAAGAACACTAATTTTAAAGGTTCGGAAATGGAGGGTTGAAGTTGCGGTTTATGGTGTCGACGGCTATGGTAGTTACAGCCATGCAGTTTCATGGAATGATGGCACAAAACAAATATGTCGTTGGAGATGCCTTGGGCCGGATCATTCCTCCGATTGGTCCATTTACTTATCCAACGTGGATATCCCTTCGGACCTTCACCGATGGTGACTAACCCCATCACTGTTATCACCACCGCCCTTGCCGCCTTCACCTTGACCACTCCTGGCAAACACTACTACATATGCACTGTCGCAACTCATTGCCAAATTGGTCAGAAGTTGGCCATCAACAAGAGTTGTTCATGACCAAAAGGCCTTTGGCCTAGCGGTATCGTAGCCCTTGGCCTTCTAGGAGGTCAGGGGTTCAAAGCTCACCATAGGTGAAGAGGGCGTGTGAGTTTATTTGTTGCATTTGCCGTATATAAATATTATATACTTCAAAAAAAAAAAACAAGAACAAGAGTTGTTCATGGACGGGATCACCCGCTAGACCCGTCATGTCCGGCTAGCTAGAAAAGTGGGCTTCAATTATCATTCTCGAAGAAATGGGCGGCCATGGACTGACTTGTTAAAGTTAATGAACGAACATGGACAATGGAAAAAAAAATATTTGGACATGACTGCCAGACCCATTAATAAAGTATGTATATTGTTATGTATTTAAGTCCAATTTAAGTTGGATAGATTGTTATGCATTTTGAATTATTTTACTTAACTTGTGATTTTATATAAATTTTATTTTTATAAAAATATAACAAGATTTTTAAGCCTGTTAGCCCATGGACAAGTCTGGCCCGTTTATTTGTTTATAGTTATTAATGTCACATGATTAATGGAAGATTAATTTTTTCTTTATATCTATTCAGAAAGAAGTTCAGAAAAACCCAATAAACTATTCCATTTTAAATGATTAAGTCCCGAACTATTTTTTTGAATGAAAAAATTATGAAACAATCTTACTTTGAATGATTAAGTTCCTAAACATTTTTTTTTTCAAAAAGATAAGCCATCAAATTTTAAAAATTGGTTACTTGCATCATTTTAACAAAAAAATATAAATACCGGCAACCGACTAGAAATGTCTTAAAGTAAAAACTACTTGTAACCCCCTAAAAATATATCAAAAAGAGGGAGATTATATAATCTAGCAGAGGCCAACGTTGTGATAGCCGATATGAAGGACGAACAACTAGGGGACGACAAGAAGTGGGTAGTTTTACAGTTGTTTGAGAGAGATTTGTAAGGCGTAGGATTTGAAAACGGTAAAACTCTTTTTATTTTATGACCTTTCTAGTTGGTTATAGACGATGAAGGCTCCAAATTTTTTGTACAACCAATGCACACTGCCACAAAATTGAGTTTATAGGATGTCACAAATTTCAAATCGTCCTATTAGACTGCTTTATAGGATGAAGAAAATAAAGGGTCTTATCTAAAGACGTTGTAATAAGTTTATAGGACGTTTTTTGAACGTATTAACAAGTTTTATAGGACACTTGTTTTTATAAGAGACTTTTTCAAAATATAAAATGAACAAGTGAACAAACACGAACAGTAAATGAACAAAACTTTATGTGTTCATGTTCGTTCGTTAAGAAAGCGTGTTTGTTCGTGTTCGTTTTTGTTCATTTGTTAAAATATAAAACGAACAAACGTAAATGAATACAAATAAACGTAAACGAGCGAACATAAATGAACAAACAAACATAAACGAACGAACACAAATGAAAAAGGAGCAGCCACAATTACTCATCATTTTGTTCCTAAAAAATAACATCACAAAATGAAAACCCGGGTAAATTTAGGAGGGATAAAAAAGAAATCTAAAAATTTAATTTAATCAATGATTTTACATATTAATGTCATTATATATAAATACAATTTACGTTTAAACAAATGTGAGCAAACATAAACGAATATAAATGAACGAACATTCAGGGACAGACCCAGAATTTTTTTTAAACAGTGGCACCATTTGACCATAAGAAAAAAAATATAGGAATTTTTTTTCAAACGGTGACACCGTTTAACTATAAGAAACAAATATACGGAATTTTTTTTCAAAAGGTGACACCGTTTGACTAAGAAAATGACACTAACATGATTCGAACATGGACGTAGGGTGGAATAAAAACCTTGCAAATCAACTCTACCAAATAAAACTTGTTCTCATTCTAGTTTCAAAATACATACGGTGACACACAACAAATTAATACGGTTGCACCGTTCACGAAACCTAATTTTTTTACCCTTCGACGGAGAAATAATACGGTGGCACGTGACACCTATACCACATACATAGGTCCGTCCATGCAAGCATTCACGAAGGTAAATGAACAAAAAATGTGTTCATGCTCGTTCTTTTATTAAATTAAACGAACTTCCCAACGAACGGTCCATTGAACGTTCGGTTTCTTTACAACCCTTAAAGTTAGTAAACCAAGAAAAACCCAACGTACTTTCATATTTTAAGCGAGTATGTCCCTCAATATTTTTTAAACCAATAAATCCTTGCACTTATAAACGAAAGAAATTTACGCTTTCTTTTTCCATGTATCAACAAATTGGTAGAAAAATACAACAAACCAATAAAACGGAAAAATACAACGTTTTTATTAAGTCTTGTTTATTTTTCAGATTTAAATGACAAAGACATATGTTTGTTATGATCTTGTTACTGTTATTTGAATTTGAAAAATAAATAAGTTTTCATTTGAATCTGAAAAATTAATAATGAATAATGAAAATGATATTTAATCCTTCTTTATTGGATTATTGGATTTTGTTACTGATTTAGATGCATCCACTGTAAAATAATGTATTACTTTTGTTTAATAAGTGTCATGATTTATGCGTTAAAATAAATGTCTAAGGAGCTGTTTACTTGCGGCTTAATTGGACTTATTGGTCTATCTGGCTTATTCGCACAGCTCATTTGAGTTGTTTACTTATGGCTTATTCGCACAGAACATTGCTTAATAGTACAGATATAAATGATGTGTTGTCCCCATTCAGCCACAAAAATGACACCATACCCCTTATTTAAAGCACCGCCTCCTTCCTATATGAGACACCCCATTTTCGTCATCTTTGTGATTTTTTATTTTGATGTTCAAATAATTAATATTGAGGGGTAAATCGGTCATTTATGTTATTCAGTGTAACACCCTCATTTTCATCAAGAGAGATGTTACGTAATCTGAATCATTTCCTTAATAAATACACCAAAGTAATGGCTAAATTAAGACCATTTAAACTATTACAGCGGAAGTCTTTGAATCATCAAAGTTTTAACTTAAGTTCAAACCCACCTTCACTTGGGGTTAAGTTACAAAAGATCATTACAGCGCATCTTAGACAAAGACTAAAATGAGATAATAATAAGCAACACTCTAAGCATGTCCTTTGCCTTTATCCGTCCTCGAACTACCTGGGCCTGAAATGCATACTATAGTCAGCTTATAAAGCTCAGTGAGTTCATGGTTTTCGTGTATAACAACATGGTACGTCATATATTTCAACTTGTAAACCTTGTAACAAGTAGCATGCAATTTCTGAAAA